CGTATACCATAAAGATATCCTTAGTCCTTCGTAAGTACTTAAGAATCATCTTAACGGCTTTCCAGTGTTCTTCACCTGGATTAGACTGATATCTGCTCGTTACACTAAGTGCATGAGCCACATCAGGTCTTGTACATAACATTGCATACATAATGCTACCAATAGCTGATGCATAAGGTATATGACTCATCCGTTCTCTTTCTTCAGGTGTCTTTAGAGACATCGTTTTAGAAAGTGAAACCCCATGACTCATTGGAATATATCCATGTTTGGATTCTTCCATGCTAAACCGTTTTAGCACCTTATTAATGTACATAGACTGGGATAGACCGATCATCCTTTTAAATCTATCTCTATAGATTTTTATCCCTCTGATAAATGATGCTTCTCCCAAGTCTTTCATGGAAAACTGTTTTGACAACCATGTCTTTGTTACTGCAACATACCTACATCATTCCCAATGAGTAGGATGTCATCAACATAGAGAACAACAAATGCAACTGCATTCCCACTCACCTTCTTATAAACACATGGTTCATCTGGGTTCTTATGAAAATCAAACGTTTTGATCGTTTCATCAAACCGAATGTTCCAAATCCTCGAAGCTTGTTTAAGTCCATAAATAGACCTTTGAAGTTTACAAACCATTTGCTCACTCCCACTGGATATGAAACCCTGTGGTTGTTTCATATAAATGTCTTCTTCATGTTTCCATTAAGAAAAGCAGTTTTCACATCCATTTGCCATATCTCGTAATCATAATACGCAGCTATGGCTAGCAATATCCGAATAGATTTAAGCATTGCTACTGGTGAAAAAGTTTTCTCATAATCAACTCCTTGTTTTTGAGTATAACCTTTAGCAACCAGTCTTGCTTTAAGAGTATTTACTTCTCCATCTACACCACGTTTTCGCTTGTAAACCCATTTACAACCTATAGGTACAATACCCTGTGGTGGATCAACCAAGGTCCATACCTTGTTGGAATACATGGAGTCTATCTCGGATTGCATAGCTTCTTGCCATTTATCTGAGTCAATGTCCGACATTGCCTCATCATAGCTTATTGGATCATTATCCAAAAGGAGTCCCTCTTCATTGTTCTCTAACAATAGGTACAGCCTCTCAGGCGCCCTATAAACCCTTTCGGATCTCCGAAGAGGTTGTGTTTCAGATGGTCCAGTCTCTACTGGTATGTTATTTGTGGTACTTTGTGGAATTTCTTGTGGTTCTTCATTAAGTTCTATGACTCCACTATTCTTTGAGAGAAACTCTTCCTCCAAGAATACAGCATTCCTCGAAACAAACACCTTTTGTTCAGAGGGGTCATAGAAATAGTATCCAATAGACTCTTTTGGATACCCCACAAATTTCCATAAGATGGATCTCATATCCAACTTATCTCCCACTTGCTGCTTCACATAAGAAGCACAACCCCATACTTTCATATATTTTTATGAAGGTGTTTTTCCACACCACATCTCATAAGGTGTGCTGGGTACAGCTTTACTCGGCACTCTATTCAAAATATGTGCTGCTGTTTCTAAGGCATAGCCCCAGAATGAAAGAGGTAAACTAGTGGAACTCATCATCGATCGAACCATGTCCATCAATGTTCGATTCCTCTTTTCTGAAACCCCATTGAGTTGTGGAGTTCCAGGAGGTGTCCACTGTGAAATAATCCCATTATCTCGTAAATAATCAAGAAACTCATTGGTCAAATATTCACCTCCTCGATCCGATCGAAGAACTTTAATACTACGACCAATTTGTTTCTCCACTTCACTTCTGAATTCTTTGAACTTTTCAAATACTTCAGATTTGTACCTTAATACGTATACATAACCATACCGTGAATAATCATCAGTAAAAGTTATAAAGTAGTGGTAGTTCCCCTTGGTACTAACATTTAGTGGTCCACAAACATCTGTATGGATCAAATCCAACAGACCTTTAGCTCGCTCCACTTGTCCAACAAATGGTGATTTTGTCATTTTACCTTTAAGACATGATTCACATGTAGGCAACCTTTCCTCTCCCCTAAGGTCGAGTTTTGGTCCTATTTTGTGAATCATCTTTTCAGATATATGACCTAATCTAGCATGCCAAATTGTGAATGAACTATGATTATCTAATTTTCTTTTATTTTGTTGAATGGTTAAGATGGGACTTTGTGGTATAATGGTATATAAACCATTTGTCAAATTTCCAGAATATATAAAAGTTGTATCTTTGAAAATGGAACATCTTCCATTCTCAATTACGAACTTAAAACCTTTTTTATCCATTAATGGAATAGAAATTATGTTTCTTATAACATCCGGAACATACAAACAATTTGTAAGATAAATTTTTACACCATTATTTAAAGCTAGATAAACAGTCCCAATTGCTTTGGCAGCAACTCTTGCCCCATTGCCCATCCTTAGGATTGTTTCATCATCTTCTAGCTTGTTACTTCTTGCCATCATCTGCAAATCATTGCAAATATGTGAGCCACAGCCGGTATCCAATACCCAAGAAGTATCGTTAACTGATAAGTTAACTTCAAAAAAATAAATACCTGAACTTTTCAGGCTTGCAAGATACTCCTTGCAATTCCTCTTCCAATGCCCAGTTTTACCACGATGATAACATTCATGACTAGACTGAGAATTAACCTTCTCTTTGTTCTTTCCTTTGTTGTTCTTTGCCTTCTTATTGGGTTTGTTGGGAACTTTTCCCTTCCCCTTCCTTTTAGATTTAGAAGAGGATCCAACAAGAAGCACCGGCTTATCCTT